GAACTATTTTTGGAATCATTAAATAAAATTGCAAGATGGAAATAACATCAAGAAAAGGAAAACTAGGTCAATATTCATATGACATTTTGATTTGAATTTTTTGAATGAAAGGGTTTAAAAAGCATTTGTTAAACTCTTATGATGTGCCAAGTGCTATGCTAAGCATTGGACATACAAATAGAGAAGTTAAATAGCCTCTGCTTTCAAGGAGTTTATATTCTAAAGGGGGAGGGGGAATAAGGCGTATAAGAATTTTTCATAGCAAGGCAGATAGAAAGGTCCCATCTTCCTCAGGGTGCAACTGCAGAGCAGATGGTAATCTGTCTTTTCCATGTCATCTTCATTGCTAAAACCATATCTGTTCCTGATGTCAAACCATTTGAGAGTGGCAATGACGTTGGTAGTGAGCACTTTATTTTCTGGGCCTTTGGTAGCTGGGGTGTGCAGTAAGCAGAGGCTGCAGCACCTAAAGAGGAAGTTGCCAGGCTGTGTCTACAAAAGGGCTGAGAATATGACAGAGAAGTGAAATAAAGCACAGCCAATTACGAACTGGGGCTCTGGGGTCCAGGGTGAGTTACACAGTTGAAAGGGCTAAATCTTGAAGGTCACGGTCCTTGGTTGGGTAGCAAAGTAGCTGGGGAGAAGATGGCAAGGGAGAAGGTACATTTCCTGCCTGACAGTTTACAATCTGATTGATTAGTATAGATAATTGGTTTCAAAATTTTAATTTCAGTCTAGAACTTTCTATTTAGGTAAGTGGTTTGTCTCTTAACCCAAATTTAGCTGTCCATAATTATCAGGTCAGTGATATCTTGACTAAAAATTGACACAAGGTGGTCTCAAGATTAGGATGACCCTATAAGAACTAGGACTGCCAACCACTTTATGAATATTTTTTGAGAGTACATATTAAGTAGTTCTCTAATAGTGTACTTTCGATATAAGTAGATTTTGCGCACTTTAAAAATGTTAACTTTGTATTTACCTAACAATTCAAAATTACTTTAAAATGCATATTTAGAAGAAATTTAGCAACACAAAATATGAATAAGTAAAATGAATCTTAGCGTGCCTAAGAAGACTCTAAAGAAAAGGAGTTGAAGTTAGAGTTGATGCTATGAGCAAATATTATCATTTTTGAATTGATCACTCTCTGTGTATTGCACAGTTAGAGAACTTACTTATATGGCTTCAATTTTGGCCTCAACATACAGTGCCAGGTTATAACCAGAGGCAGGATTTCTACCAGTGCTCTATCATCTTACCCCACCCCCACTCCACCAAAACACACAACATCATCCTTATGTCTGATTATCAGATTCATTTATTCAGCTTTTGGTAGTTTAATTCATTTTTTTAAAAAATAGGTAATTTTTTTTTAAATTAGTAAAGATGTAACAGCTCTTCTGACTAAAAGACACTGTAAGTCTGATGGGATAATCAGTAGTGGTAAAACAAGATCTATTGCATTATCTTCGCTGAATTAGATCTTTAGGAAATCTTTCCAATCATCACCTAGTCTTCCTTCAGAGGGCAAAACTAGTATCGATGAGTGGAAGTTTCAAAGAGGCAGATTTAGGATTCCCGTGATAAAAACAAACTATCTAACAGAGCTATGCCAAAGTGAAGGCAATGGGTTTCCCTTCACTGGAAGTTTTTAGGTGAAATGTAGAGGACCATTTGTCTAATGTTCCATAGAGGGGATTCCAGTTCAGGTATAGGGTGTCTCAGATAACCTCTGAGGTTCCTGAAATCCTGGGATTGGGACTTAACATTTTGTGTGCTTATTCAATTCTACCATACAAGCCCCTAGTAGGAATGAATTGGGAAAGTAGGTGATGCCGTAGTGCACAGAGTGCTGGGCCTGGAGTCAGGAAGACTCATCTTCCTCAGTTCAAATCTGGTCTCAGACTCTTGCTAGCTGTATGACCTAGGCAAGCCACTTCACCCTGTTTACCTCAGTTTTCTTATCTGTCAAATGAGCTGGAGAAGGAAATGGCAAACCACTCCAGTATCTCCGCCAAGAAAATCCAAAATGAGGTCATAAAGAGTCAGACACAACTGTAAACAATTAAATGACAACAACAAAGGATGAATAGGTTCTATCAAGGTAGCACAAAACCAAAAATTATGATAACTTAAAATGGCAACTAAAACATTATTTGGTGTTTTGGTGATGAGATTCGTCATATGATCTATTCTGAAAATTCAGTTTTCAATATAATATATTTCAGTTTGGTAAATTTTTTCATTTGCTACATAGTAGCAATGTTCCCAAGGCAGATTTCCAAGCATCCTATAAGGGAAAAAAAAACTTGCCTCCTATTATTTATTGCATTTAAAGTTATGCTAGTTGGAGATGAGTTTACATGAATTAAAAGTCTATGTAGAGTGCTTGTTTCAGTTTGTGAGGTAATGCCATCATAACCAATATACATCTGTTAGCTTCTATGCAAATTTCAAAAAGGAAAGAAAGGAAAGCTGAGGGCTTTATGTTTGGGAAGCATCATTGTCAGTTTCATAGTAGATATCCAGTACTTTCATCAAGGCATATATGATCCCGTTTAAATGTTTAAAGCACAATTGAGTTCCATCACATATTTGGAACTTTGTTAATGCCACCAAAGACCTAAGTATAGCAAGAAATCCAGATGGGTGTGGACTACTGACACATTAAAGAATACAGAGAATGGAATATAGAATATAATCTGAATACTGTTAGCCATCCTAATACTTCCTGAAGAACCACCATCTTCATTTGGATTTCCATCTTGTAGTACCTTATATGATATCCTGGCATAATGGTATAACGAATTAGCCACAGATGAATACTGTTTGTAGGGCCAGTCCACAAATTACAGATCAACAGCTGATTTTTGTGGCCGTGTCAGCACTTCTTTAATCACAAATGAGTATTGGAGAATGTTTTTAAAATATTCAGGATAATAAATCACTCATTTAATAAATATCTCAATGTCCCTCTTTCATCTTCTGTCTTCATCCTCCGTTTTGCCCATCTTCATCTTCAACCTCAATATCAGTGTACTGTAAATAGCTGGTCTTTACATGTACCTTTCTAAACTATGACCCAGTAGGCATTGAGAGAAAATCAGGGCTCCTACTTAGGATTCTTGTGCCTACTCTAAACTTATTGGCCATTAAACTTTGCGTGTTTATCCCTAAGACACTCTCCTCTATAGTCATTTTGTACCCTCAACGTTACTGTTAGGGCAGCCTGGCATAGTGAATAGAGTCAGCCTGTGAGTCAGAATAAAGCTCCATCTTTGCCGCATACTGGCCTAACTCCAGGCAAATGATTTCATCTCCTAACACCTAAGTCAATTTGCTGAGATTGGGAGCTACAGTCTTCATTGTTTCTCAAAGATTATAAACTATGGAACAGTGGCTGAGAGGGAGTTTCCTTATGGGAGCTCCTTACACCAATGAAATACAGGTAGGTTCTGACTAAAGCAAAAACAAAAAGTGATTATTTTACATGGGGGGGAGGAGGTAGAGAAGACATCTTACATATTTTATCCAGATTATATGATGTAGAGAATCAAGTGGATATATTTTCTTGCATCAAGGATTATGTGTTTAAATGATCTGTCCTCTAGGCATGTGTTCTATGATTTTGTGAGAGATTTTTTGAAACAGACCTGGGTTCTGGTTCTGATCCTACCACTAACTAGCAAGTCACCTAATCTTTCCTTATGTATAAAATGGGAGTTGGACTGGATGATATCCAAGGTCTTTTCCATCTCAAAAATTCTACAATGGCACTAGATCGATTAGATGGGTAGACAAGTACCAGAATTATGGTATTCTACCAATTCAATTAAGTAAAACATTTATCGAGGACTTACTGTATTTGAGGCCCTAGGCCAGAAGCTAAAGATAATGAGGGCATAGTCCCTATCTTCTAGGTCCTTACAACATAGTAAGGAAAGTAAGATGGAGATACAAATGCACTTCTAAAAAGGGTGAAAGTCTGCAAGAGGCACAAAGTGCTGTGAGGGTTTATAGGAATTGTTGGAAAAGTCTTATTTAGTATAGTTCTTTTCAAATAATAGGTTTAGATGAACATATTTTGAGTTACAAATTAACCAACAAGATATTATAATTAAAAGGTATTTTATTGTAACAAAATGCCTATGAATTTGCATGACATTTTAAATGGTAATGACAATCATAGAGAGCAAAGAATTATGGTAGAACTTTAAACATTGTGATTAAATTGGCCATAATTCCTTTTTGATTGCTTGATTCTTCACATGAAATTAAATTTGTAATAATCTTGTTAATACCATGCACTTTTAGCCTTGTCACAATCTTTAGTTTTACATATATGTGTATATATATACACATATTTATGTGTACACATGTGTGTATATGCACATATATGTGTATGTATGTGTGTGTGTCTCACACACACACACACACACACACACACACATACGCGCTCGCGCACGCAGTTAGAATCCTAGACTTTTAGCCCTGCATTATCTAATTCAGGGGTTTCCTAATTACCAGCCCAGGAATCAGAAGTCTTTATTTTTTTATACCTTTAAACTTAACCTAATGATGCCTTCTTAGTCCTCTTTGCATCTTGCTCCTCCTACTCCTGGCTCTCTTTGCCTTCGTTCCTGTTTCCCGTTCTTTGAGAGCCATCTTGGCATGTGCAATAGAGACTAGGAATTTTGCCATTCTCTAGTAGCTTGACATGGGGAATACAGCTTTAAGTCAATTCTTTCATTTTACAGCTGAGGAAACAGGCCAAAGATGAGGAAACCAAGGTTTAAAAAGGCTAAACCACTACTCAATATTCCCCCTGTTCACTAGGAGCCAGAAGGACAGACTAGAACCCGGATCTCCTAAATACTTGCCTTGTGTTCTTTCTATTTTATTGGGTTGCCTCGAGTAGTTGTCTAATGAAATTATATTGGGCTCCTTAAAATATAAGTGTACAATAAAAATCTTCATGTTTTCATATCTTCTAGGGTTTAGGTATATTTGGGCTTGATGTCATTGAAACACCTGAGGGAGAAAAATGGCCTCAACTAATTGTCCAAAAGATGCTGGATCGCGAGGAGAAAGACACATATGTGATGAAATTGAAAGTTGAAGATGGTGGGTCACCTCCTAGGTCCAGCACGGCCATTTTGCAAGTTTCTGTGATTGACATGAATGACAACCATCCCGTCTTTGTAGAGAGCGATGCTGAAGTTACCATCCCTGAAGATGCTCCTGTGGGCTCTTCAGTCTATCAGCTCCATGCCACTGATAATGATGTGGGTGCAAATGCAGAGATCCAGTACTTTTTCAGCAATCTAATCAACCACCTTGCTAAGAAGCTTTTCAGTCTCAATAATACCACTGGCCTCATTACCGTCAGGGAGCCCTTGGATAGGGAAGAGGCACCTATTCACAAGCTTATGGTTATAGCAACTGATGGAGGTCCATTGCCTGCTAGGGCCATGGTGATAGTGAATGTCACAGATGTCAACGACAATGTCCCGATAATTGACGTCAGATACATCATCGATACAGTCAACGGGACTGTGTTCTTGTCAGAAAATGCTGGGCTCAATACCAAAATTGCTCTCATTACACCATTAGACAAAGATGCTGGCCGTAATGGGAAAGTGACATGTTTCACAGAAAATGACGTTCCTTTCAGATTAAGACCAGTTTTTGAGAATCAGTACCTGATGGAGACTTCCTCTTTCCTAGACTATGAGACTACAAAAGAATATGAAGTAAAATTGTTGGCTTCAGATGCTGGCAAACCACCTTTGAATTACACTACTTCTGTTTTCATTAAAGTCAAAGATGAAAATGATAATGCACCCATCTTCAGAAAGTCCAGCGTAGGGATTTCTGTCCTAGAGAATAATGATCCTGGGGCTCAGCTGACAAAACTCAGTGCAACAGATGCAGACAGTGGAAAGAATGGAGAGATCACTTACCTGATAGCTGGTGAACCCCCCTCTGCTTTCAGACTGGATAATCGTACAGGCATTCTGTCAGCAGTGGAACAACTAGATAGAGAAAAGAAAGACAAATACACCTTCACAGTCACTGCAAGGGACAACGGGCAACCTCACCTGCAGTCCAACGCTACAGTGACTGTAACAGTCCTTGATCAGAATGACAACAGCCCTACCTTCACCCACAGTGAGTACAACTTCTACGTCCCAGAAAACCTACCCAAGCATGGCACGGTGGGACTCATCACTGTAACTGATGCTGATGCTGGAGAGAATGGAATGATCACTCTCACCATTCTAAATACCAATGGCAGTTTCCTCATTGATCCAATACGTGGAGTCATCCGACCCAATGTCTCTTTCAATAGAGAGAAACAAGACTCTTACTCTTTCGTAATAATGGCCACAGATGGAGGCAAGGTGCCCCGCTCTTCATCTGCCACAGTGACCATCAATGTGGTTGATATTGATAACAACAAACCAGTTGCCCCCGCCTCTCCTATTAACTACACGTTTCAGTTTATTCCACTAGCTACTGAAATTGGCACACTTCTGTACGTAGTGATGGCTATTGATGAGGGCAATGGTGCGAATTCCGAAACCCGTTACCAAATGGAAGGTGGAAAAAGAAAGAAATTATTTCATGTGGAAGGACCAGCAGGGAACATAACTCTGAAATCAAGATTTATTCCTACAGACCAAAGCTTACATAAGCTGTTGATCAAAGCTAGGGACTTAGGACACCCTGACTCTCTGAATGGCAAAATACTACTGAATCTATTTGTGAATGATTCTCTGTACAATTCTTCTTTCGTTGATGAGCTACTGCGCAGAGCTCGAGGTCGAGGTAGAGGGAAATCAGTGACCCACAATGTTCCAAAGAGTGATGTTGCGGACCCATCAACTGGCGACTACGTCAAGTACATCATTGCCATCATTTCTGGTTCCATGACGGCTGTCCTGACCATTGTTATCGCCGCTCTTTTACGTTGCCGCCGTATTCCACGCCTCGCAGCTGGAAGAAAGCAGAATTCAGAATGGGTCACTCCAAATCCAAACAACGGTGAGACGATAACAATTAGCACAAATGACAATAGCGGCACTAATAGTGTCATCGTTAACCTTGTCACCTTTGCCGAATCTAGGACTGATGATCTAGATAAGGAAGAGGAGGCCACTACCTCCTTGGATGTTGTCATTAATATCGAAGATGATGCCATGGAGAGGTACAACCGAGGAACCCATTCTTCTACTTTTAAGCCTGATGGTCCTGATTTGGCCCAACACTACAAAGCGACATCTCCTCAGCCAGCCTTCCGTATTGAGCCTGAGACTCCTGTGCATTCGAAGCATCATGGCATCCAGGAGCTGCCCGCGGACAATACTTTTGTGATGGGCTGTGACTCTCTTTCCAAATGTTCCTCCAGCAGCTCAGATCCATACAGCATTTCTGACTGTAGCTGTCAAGGAACCATTAAGACTACAGCCACCATTCACCCCCGACAGGTAAGCCCAAATTCCTGGATGAATTTGGTACGTTCTTTTCCTTTCTACAAGCTGTTTTACCTTTAACCAAAGCATTAGAAGTCCGTCTGGTCTGAAAAGATTAAAAGGCCTAATCTCAAGTATTGCAACCTATAGATTGTGGTGAACTGATATTCGACCTAGCGAATTAAAATTAGCTATGAGCTATGGGAAAAATTTATGTGAAATTAGGGGCAATCCTGTCTGTAGATGGCAGTATGGTACTTCCTGTGTTAATGTAGAATATTGTTGAACAATTCAAAAAAAAAAAAAAACAACACAGAGGGGTTATGGCATTGTCCTCAGCCCTGTGAGATACACAGGAATGTTAAGTTATGCAGACCAGGTATAGAGCAATAAAATTTTTCAGGATCTGAGAAGTGACTTGTAATGCTAATGGAGTTTGGAATTGCAGCCTTTACTTGGACAAACTACGATGCCCAAGGGTCTCTCAAAAGTGGGCAAGATTCCCCGCCCCGAGAAATGACAGTGCCATTTTCAGAGTAGAAACTTATTCTCTTACTTTGACTCATGGAAATCTCTCCCAACTCATACAAGACGGAGAAAATCAGGCTATAAAGAGAAATGTAGTCATCTTATACTTTGCTTTTATTTTTATAGCAGATAGTGAAATGCATAAATGATATCTGGTTCTAGGTACTCTGCTCAGTAATTTGTGAATTGATGAGAAATAGTCAGTATCCTTTAAGATCCATTCTTCACTGTGATTTTTTTTTTGAGGCAAAGTGTGTTTTGTACAGTATGTTGAAGGGAAAGTAGGACAAATGAGTGTGACCACATTGATTATAAATCTAAAGACTAGGGAATTAATTAAAATAGCTTTCTTATATATCTGCATTTGAGGAGAAATACATCAGAGTTGCTTTCTATTAAGCATTGGCATTCACAAATGATTTCAGTTGTTTCTGTTTCTTTGTCTGTTTTCTTAATGAAGCCAAGACACAGAATTCTATGGTATATTTTGTTCCTTCCAATGGAGGCCATACCTTGAGTTGTGCTTTTCTTTCCTTGTGTTTAAGCTATAATAAATCTAGAAAAAAATTCCAGTCTCTTCATCGCAGGTGGTACAGAAAAGCTTTGAAAAACTGTAATTTGATAAGATAATAGCATTTAAAAGGAAGAGCAAATTCCCTCTTCCCTAAAATTAGGGACACTTTGAGCCAGTGTATCAAGCTGAAAGAAATTATGAAAATGGGTCACTGATGATTTTTAAAACTTTAATTTCAGATTATATGTATGACCCAACTGTACCACAATGTGAAATTTTTTTCGTTAGTCACATAGTGGTCTGAAATGTTTGCTTCAGTGCGAATTGTTATTGCAGTTCTAGGACTTCTGCCTTTTCTCAAAGTAGGTCTGCTGAGATAGTATAGAAAAAGACAACTGGACCTTCAGGCAATTTTTGCAACAGAAAGCACTGTTCTAAAGAAAACTTGAAGGAAAAAGATTATTTCCACAGGTTTGAACACCATGTGTAGAGGGTCTCTGTTCATTCTTGATTATTCTAAAGTGTCAACTCCCTCTTATTTCCTAATTTTTATCTAAAAAATTTTTTTCCTAATGGCTTTTTTTTTTACAACATGGCAGACATCAAGATTGTGGCGTGCACCTTTGTATATGTTTGACTTTTAAAAGACTTTAAAAGATCTTGCAGCACAAATATAAAAACCACATCAATGTATAAAAAAAGCTTGGTTTGTGCTCTGAAAAGCATCATTCTGAAGATGGATTATAAGTTAGTTACAAAGAAGAAACAGCTTTTAGGTTTTTGTTTTTGTTTTTTTTTACATTTTTCTTAACCTCTGAAAGTGATTCTCAGCTGCAAAATTTTGTGGAACTAAAAGAAATAAGATATGATGAGAAAAGCTCACTTATTTTGCTATTTTTGATGCTGTATAAAATGCCTACAAATACATCCAAATCTCTCCCATCCTTAAAAACCTCTCACTAGATCAAAAGCAAAGAGTGTTTCTGACCCCTCTAGATAGGATTTAGTCAGTAATAAGGAAAGAAGCAAGAGGGCATATTAGTACTAGTTCCTGACATAAAATGTAGGTGGTACATGCTAGTATGTTCACAAAAATGTTGTAAATATGAAAAAGCGTCAGCTTTTAGAATTTCAGATACATAAGACAGAGTGGTTAAGCGATCATTTTCATAGTGCAATGTCTGGATATACCCTAATTCACATAACCTGAGTCAGAAGAGACTTCATAAACCATCTAGTTTAAACTGTACTTGGAGAAAAAAAAAACATCTTGAGTGTCATCTTTAGTGCTAACCATTCACAGTTCCTTTGCTCTTGTCACTTCATCTTGAGTCTAGTTCCCTCATACTGTTGTATTTCAGATAACAGAAGTTTAATGCTTCAATTACAATATGTCATTGGCTTCTTTCCCCTCTCTGTTAGCTACCTCGTCCCTAAGGCAATTCTTCCCCTTCATCATTGCTTCATATAATTTTCCTCTTCTCTAATTCCTATTTGGCACTCCTAGTAATCATTACCTTTCCATGTTGGACCACTCCCTATCTTGACTATTGAGAACTCCAAGAAAATTAGAAGCTGGGCAGAGACAAATCTTGCCTGATGGACACAAAAAATAACCTGGGTGCCCCTGCTAGGAGCTTGAATAGGATTGGCTAGGCAGAGAGGCATCACGGCACATCTGATTGCATGACTACTCCATTGATGTTTCTGGAATTGCTTCGTAAAGATTGTTTGATTCTGTATAACTGTGTTAAACTACAGCTGAATCTAGCATTCACCCCCTTAAATTTCTGTAGTCTCATACCACCCAAATATTAGACATCACATTCAACACGTGATTTCTTCCTGCATAATCCTTTTTTGCTCATTTTACCTCCATCATTTTTCTTTTTTTAAATTCTTTTCTTTTTTGAAGTTTTATTGTTGCCTCTGTTTTCTATACCACATTTTCTGAAATATCCCACCTGCATCACTGAGCTCTCCTTTGTAACAAAGAAAAACAGATAAACAAAGCTAATGGAATGGCCACACCTAAAAGTGTATGCATGCGTCACTCAGTACCAATAGTCCCCATAAGATCTCTCCAAAAAGGAGAGTATTTCATCTGTTCTTTAAGACCGATGTCGATAATTACATTTCATTTGAATTGAGCTGCCTTCTAGAGTTGTTTTTGTGTGGAGTATTGTGACATATTGTTATGCTGGCTATCTTGAATCAGTTAATAGGTTTTTCTCAATTCCTCATATTTTTCATTTCTTATAGTGGAATAGTGTTTTGTTTTGTTCATATGCTACAGTTTGTCCTGCTATTCTCCTATCAATGAACATCCATTTTGTTTCCACTTTTTTCTTAACGTTGAAAATGCTGCTATGAATATTGAGGCCCTTTCTGACTTTGACCTTCTTGGGGTTTATGAACAAATTGATGACTTTTCTTACATAATTGAAAATTAATTTCCACAACTGTTATACCAATTCACATCTCCAGTAATAGAATATTAATATACCTTTCTTTCCAGATCCCATCCAGCATTCTCTTTTTTTATCTTTTGTCATCATTGCCAATTTGAGGGCTATGTTTCAATGTTATTTTTTCTTAGAGAATTTTTTGCATTTCTTCTGAATATTGTTCTTATTCTTTGATCACTTATCTTTGGGGCTCATGTTCTTATTTATCCATGTCAATCCTCTGTGTATCTTTTTCAATAATTTTCCAGCAAGTATTAAAACAATTTCCCTGGGGTTTTGTGCCCTATTATATTTTCCATACATGTTACATACTCAATATGAGTAATAAACATCATTGTGTCAAAAGATAAAGACCCCAAAATGCTTTGGAGCACTTTTGACCAAGCACAAATCCAGTGGTATGATTCCTTCAAATAGCAACAGAATTTTCTGCCTATGGTTACAATGTGTGTTCATGTAAATGGCATCATACAAAGGCTGTTCCATTCAAAATTATCTTTCTTTCTTCTTCTACTAAAACTCATAATTATTAATTTTGTGAGCACAGGAACAGATAGTGAAAATCAGGGATCATCAAATGTAGTTAATGTCTGAATCATAGCATGGCAGATTTACCTTGAAATTTGCAAAATCGTATCCTCCTATCCACAAGGGACAGAGTTCATAAAGCAAATTTTAAAGGTTCTAGTTCTTGGCACTTATGCAGAAAACAGATATACAGTCTGCTTCATGAAAAGAAAAACTAGAATGAGCCATACAGATTTGCTGTAGAGAAGGGGGAGTGTTTTCCAGTGGTGGAGGGCCTAAAAAGCTACCATAGAGTTACTCCGCTAGCCCCTTATCTTTGGTCTATGCCTTGATTGAAAATCGCTGCAAATGACTAGCAAGTAACATTCATTGACATTTTGAATGTCTTGGAGTTGCATCCCCTATATGTTTGGCCTCAGGAGTCCAGAAAAGCCATCAACATTATTCAGCCTTTTCACAGGACTTGACATGTTTAAGTGTTGTACAATCATCAGTTATTTTCATTTTCTGTTGAAATGGAAATGGATGTTACCTGGAGTGAAGCTATGTTTCTTTATCATGATCAGAATTTAGTGATAGTTGTCCAACATTGTTTAACTGTCGTATGAAATCTTAGCAGCTCTCAAGGTTTAGAAGGGTAAAATCTTCCCTGATGGGTCAGGGAAATGGGCTTCTTGTAAAGGTTGTCTAAAATTCTTAGAAGGATAGGTATAACAAAAGGTTAAGGGGAAAGTAAGAGGATCTATCATATGCTGCTCTCTGAATTTGCTTATGTTTGTGCATTGCTTTCTACTTGCCAAAGTCCTTTTCAATCTGTTGTCTTATTGGGGTGGCAGAGCAGTCACTCATAAAATATTTCGGTTACTCTAATAGGATTATTTCTAAGGTCCATAAATGAAGACTGGAAAAAAATACATCTTGGGTTCCAGTTAAAATGAATCCTCCTGGGAAAATGCTTTAAATATATGCTAAATCTG